TGTTATGTTAATACAAAAAATTGTTAAGCTACACAAAAATATTATATAGTTATATTCAGCATGATTGATAGAGATTAGCTTATGTGATTGATATTTTTAACCACTTAAATTAATTAAAAATTAATAAAATCAATTTAAATCAAATACAATTATAGTTTTTTCTAATTCTAATATTAATTGGTAGGAGTAACAATTTAAATAATTTAATAATAATTTTTTTATTGTAAGTATAAGATATTAAGTTTAAGTCACAAGTATATAAGTAAAATAAAGTAAAAAATATAAATAAATTACTTTTTATTATACAATTAAAATCAAAAAATATATTTATATGATAACTAGTGCGATTATAAACATGTCTATTTTAAACCCATGGAGTCCACGTCTACCAAAGAAATTTCTGCCATATATGCGAACACCTCTTCTGACTTTTTTCAACATTTATTAGGTTAATAGGTTTTTCAATGTTCCCATAATTTTTTTGGATGAAAAATTTATTTATATATAAGTTTTATATATTACATTTATATAAATTTTAATTAATTATTTTTTTTAAAATTTAATATAATTTTTTAGATGAAAAAATAATTATATTAATAAATATAAATAATTTTAATGGTTAAAAATAAAAAATAATTAAAATTTTATATAAATATAAAATACAAAACTTAATATGTAATTAGATCTCTATAAATTTTTTTACGTGTCTTGATGTTCTGTTAATGCAACAAGCATAGTCTTAAGAACTAATTCCTCCTCAGGGTATCCTTTATCACGGGGTTATGATTGTTAAAATTAACACATTTTCACTTCACCATTTTGAATTGAAAAACAATTCTCAATTTTGTAATTACAAAGTTATGCAATTTTTTTTAAAAGTAATCATTGCGCAAATACTAATTAATATTTATCTTAATATAACTTTTGGCCACAACTCAGCATGGTACAAGACACATCGCACAACAATCTCTAACCAAAACTTAGTTATCCTTGAGTTTGTGTACGAATGTTTTCTAAGTGATTTTTTTTTTTTTTTGTGTGTGAGTAATGAATTATGATTAAAAAAAAAAAAACATATCGCAAAGTTACGAGAGAAGGGATAGAACATAAACCATTTAAGCCAATTGGGCTAACGATGATAGTCCTAGTGCACGAATTACATAGATAAACATAAGAAATTTTAGGAAAACTATTTTTGATGCAGCTTATCCTACTAAGAAATTCTTTTCAGAAAATGAAAAATTTTTCAAAATGATTTACGCAAAAGTTTTATTTTAATATAAATTGTACTTTTTTACAATTTAAATATTAAAATTATTAAAATATATTTAATAAAATTACTTTTAATGTTTATTTATTTAAAATATTTTAATAATTTTAATATTCAAAGTAATATATATATATATATTTATACAACCCATACTGAAAAGATTTTTTAAATGATCAATGTCGAAGTTCCAGAAAGGTTTAAATGTAAAATAGACATGAGACGCGAGAGGGTAGGTACCATGCGCCTATGCGGTAATGTAGTGTTTGGATTATCATTTTAAAGACAGTTACTAACTGTTGATGTTAATTACATAAATTAAATATTTTAAATTATAAATAATAACAATTATTATTAATTAAATTTTATCTGTTAACTGTTAACTTCTTCTGCACTATTAATTCAAACACTTTTAACGTAAGCACTTGCCTGGCAGTTTGGCATCACGTGGATATCGTGTTCATGGCCGCTGAATGATATTATTATTACGTTTTAATTATTAATGTTATATTTTTTTTATTTTAATTAATTATTATATTTTTAAAATTTTTTAAATAAATAAATATGATTTTCAAAAAAATATATAAAAACATAATAAATATCCATATTATAAAAAAATGATATTAACTATTTAGACGGTAGTAAAAACTCACTCCTGCCGGCTGTTTGGCGGTCCCGAGTAAACAAGAAATTCTAATAGAGCAAGCGCATATCTTTCTTCTTCCTTCTTTTTTCTTGTGTAAAACGTAAGCGCATATCTAATATGCCCTATGGAAGGCCCTATTAAATATTTTAAATTATAAATAATAATAATTATTAATAATTAAATATTATCTGTTAAGTGTTGACTTCATTTGAATTATTAATTCAAAAAC